AAAGGTGCCTGTCCCAAAATGTTTTTTCTTTTTTTTTTTGGGGTTTTTTTTTTTTTTTTTTTTTTTTTTTTATACTTATTTAGAGTCTCTTGGGAATTGTGTTAAATTGTGAAAAAGTTGCTTGGGCTTTTTATTTATTTATTTATTTTTTATTTATTTTTTTTGCTGGTTTAAACATCAAACAGTGCGGAAGAAGAAATGGGGCGGGGGGTGGGGGGGAGCTTTGGGGAGGGGGATATTAAAATGTGTTGTGAGGAAGAAGCTCACTGGGGCTACTGATTAGCGCACCAATCACTGTCATCAGAATTCATTTGGTGGTGACAGATTTAGAAAATGAATCCTCTAACTGACTAATGATCATAATAACAGCTATTAAAATATGTTTGACGCTCCTCGGTTTCTGCTATCCCCCACACACCCCGGCGATGTTTGTCTTTTAATGTTTGCGTTCAGGTTCATACTTATGAATAGGCATTGTCTCTGTAGGTAAACATCTCATATGTACATGCTTTATTCATGGCACTCCAACAATTTGCACAATGGTTTTATGTACACAAGACATAGGCAGGATTTCAAAATTATAGATGGGTATATGAAACATGGGTGCTGTTTACAAGTGGGTTGACTTAATTTATGCTTTATTTTTCAGATAATAACCGACTTTCAACCTTCTTGATATTGACACTAATAATATTTAATATGTTTCAGTCTTTGCCCCCTATTTACACATTCAAGTCTTCTAAGTTGGTGTGGAGTTTTTGTGATAGTTTATTCATTTCTGCTGCCGCCAATTTGCACATTCTTATTACAGAAATAAATATCCCAATGTTCTTCACATATTTATACCTTATGCAAAATTTAGAATAATAATAGCCCAAAAGACCTTTTAATATTTGATACTATTTTCTAACTTTTTGGTGAGGAAACTTTACAGAGAGCGGGTGATCGGTGATGCTAAATGGAGCGATTCCAGGTATAACATTTGCCGTTGGGGAGCGATCCACTGCAGAGACAACAGAACTGGAAAATGTAGTCGGAAGCCGTGTTTGCTTGTGTTGGGGGTGGGAAAAAAAAAAAAAAAAACATCTGTTGCTTTGTGTTTTGCAGCATCCCCATCGTCGCGTGACCTTTTCCACCGCCAACCCCGTGCAGGACCTGCAGGACGCCTCGCAGCACAGCTACTACGACAGCGGCTTAGAGGATTCGGAGACCCCCAGCAGCAAGTCCTCATCTGGTCCTCGCATCGGACCCCTGACCCTGCCCGAGGACCACTACGAGAGGACCACCCCAGATGGCAGCATTGGAGAAACAGAGCACCCAGAAAACGGTACAGTGCTTAGCTTCGTGGTGTGCCGTGTCTTGTGTTATTTTCTGATTTTTGCACAGTCTTATGCTTCAGTGTGCTCCAGTGGGGTTTAAATTCATTGGTCCATGCAAAGTGGAGCATAACTGTGAAGTGAAAGAAAACTATTATCATGATTCCAAGCCATTTGTAAAGCCGAAGCTTCTTAGTTTTTCACTGTCAAAGTAATAAAAAACATATTTTTTAGAATAGTGCTGCGTTAAAGTCACAACTGTCAAACAAATTCTGTTTATAAAAATGTTGAAATTAGAAGTGCTTTGCTCAGAACTTAAGTTTAAACTTTGATCATTTCAATGTGTTTAGTTTCATTGTTCTGCTGGAAGGTAAACTTACAACCCAGTCTTAAGTCTTTTGCAGGTTCCATCATGTTTTGATTCTCTTACCACTTATCCAATTTCTGCCGGGCTTCTTCTACTTTCTGTTGGATAAAAGCATACCAAAACCATAAATCTGCCTTCTTCGTGTTTCACTGACTGGTGTGAAGTTAAAGTTTTGCACAGTCAGAGCAAAAAGTTTATTTCTGGTCTCCTCTAACCAGGCATTGTGACTCAAACGCAGCTGTAAAAACTCACATTAGCAAAACCAAGGACAATATTTAATCAACCACAACCACAACAAAAAAAAAATAAATAAATAAAAAATAGTGGAATTCAGGAAACTTGTCGATTTGAACATCATTGTTGGGTCGAAACACCGTTTCAAACCTGAAACCCAGAGGATAACAATCAGGGCTATGAAGAAGAGGCAGTCTCTATCAACAGATGCTTCTGAACCATGCTAAACATTGGTTGGCCAGATAAAATCAACAACAGTGACCTTTGGAAATAGACAAACCAGCTGCCTGTGTAGGGAGATTGGGAGGGAGACGTTGGCTGTGGAATTGCAATACTCCTTTCCAGCCCACTTATAAAATCACTACACAAGCTGTGACTTGGAGCCCCACAGGAAGGAGGAAGATAGGATTCCCTCATAATAGCCGGCAATAGGATTTGGACGCAAACATCAAGAGATTGGGCTACACAAGGAACCAACTAGAGAAGAGGGCAAAAAGTAGAAAGAGTTGGAAATCACTCGGAAGAAGTAGGCTTGGTGGTCATCTGGCCTCCTTTTCAACAATGTCTTTATTCTGTTCGCTTTTCCATAAAAGCCAGGTTCGTGGAGTAGACTGTGAACAAGATTGTCCTATTAACGGGTTCTTCCACATGAGCTGTGGCTCTCTGCAGCTCCTCCCAAGTTATCTTTGGGCTCTTTGCTGCTTCTCTTATCAAGTCATCTTTCTGCCCATGCAGGTGAATGGCCATGTGGAAGGTTTGCAGTTGTTCAAAAAAAATAAAAAATAAAAAAATTCAATCCAACCATTCAAACAAATTCCAAGACAGTTACAAATTGATCATATCTGTCAAACAATGCATTCAACTTTAAACGATTTTCTAGTGAAACCCAGCAGATTGAATTAAGTCACCGACTTGAAGCAATCATTCATGCTAAAAGCAATGATGTATTTTATATATTACAAAACAAAAACAAAAATCTTACAACAGTTAGTGACAATACCAGCTCCTTTTGAGGCTTCATCTGGAAGAGAAACAAAACTAAGCCTATCAGCTCTGAAGCTGTTTTCAAGTCTGTAGGATGAAAGAAAGAACATAAGAAAAGCCGATTGCTATTGAGAGGGACACGATGCATGCCTCACAGACTAACACCAGGAGCCTGATAACTAAAAGATCTGCCTCCCATTCTACCTTTAGCAACTCTAAGAACCACCTGCAGTAAACCTGCAGTCTGACAGCAAGCTCTGTTAGGAACACATGAAACAATTGGATCCCTGACAAATGGAGCTTGATAGTTAAGGGATCTATTCTGGATTTAGGAGGAAGCCAATTTTCATCAGAACTCTTGCCGTACAGGAAAGGGAATTGGGTCAAGCACCGAGCCCTGTGGATCTCAACATGTAACCCCGGAGTGTGAAGAGGGTTTATCATCTACTCCAGTGAGACGGGATGTGTCATAAGAATTAAACACGCGCAGTGTTCACCTCCTGATCCCCGCATTATGTTCAAGCCAAGCAAATGTCGTAGTTGACTGTAAGACACATCAAAGCTTGCGAGCACGAGAAACTGAAAAAAGTTGAAGACGTATGAATAGTTTATCATGTTATTATTTTTAAGGACAGGTATGTCTGAGGGATGTTTTTGTGCTCTGGAGTCATTTCGTAGTGCAGATGTTCTCACCTTTGCATCGAGCGTGTTTGTTGACTGTGTGAAAAATTGTTTTTTAAGCAGATCTGTGCCTTTTTGAGTTTGTGTGTGTGTGTGTGTGTGTGTGTGTGTGTGTGTGTGTGTGTGTTGTCTAAGCAGTGCCTCCATCCCCCCTCATCAGCAGGTCCTCTGTCAGACATCCTTAATGACCCTCTCTCGCAAGTGTGCTAATTAAAAAAGCTCAACTAATGGAGCATTTGCCCTCTAAATAAATCTGACCCATGACATCCCGGCAGACAACACAATGTTTGGCTGTGGGTGGACACAAGCTACACAGCAGCTTAGGTCTGCAGGTGCCATTATTTCTGTGCACAATAATCCCTACAGAAGGCGATGATCTCAGCGGATGTCCATTAGAAAAGGAAAAAAATGTCACAACCGACCACTAACCATGTACTACCTGAAGCTGCCAAACATAATCCAGTACTTGTTTATTACCAATGCTAGTGAATCACATGGTATATTTCCAGTTTTCGACATACAGGTATTTCACTGCTGGGCAAGAGCAGCTCACCTCTCTCATTATGTTTTTATATCACTGCTTTGTTGCATTACTGTGGTTTTATCTCATCATCATGCAGGGCTTTTTTCTTTTTGTGCATAGGTTATCAGTTTAGAGGGTAAGCCTTTTCCCAGAGTCCCTTAAGAGCTACAATTAAACGAATAGCAGCAATGAGACTGATGCTATGATACTCGTGGAAAGTTACAAATGTACACTGCAAATCGAGAATTCAGTCTTTTTTTTTTTATAGAACACTTTTCATAATGCTAAATGTAACACAAAGTGCTTTGCAGGAGATAAACAAAGGAAATTCAACACGCTATTTTCAGTCAGTTTTACACATTATTGGTGAAGCTTTTAACATAAAATGAAAAGAGTCAAAAGCAAGAAAGAAATGTTCAAATGAAATTTCACGTCTAATTGAATTTGTAAGTCAACATGACTTTGAAGGTTAGTTAGGTGGGCAGGTGGTTTAAAATATTTGCATCATTACCATTTCTTCCTTATACAAACTCTGCTTGCAATCATGCATGCATTAGTTTTATGTTGTTTTTGAGGCAGTTGCAACTAGAAATATATATATATATATATATATATATATATATATATATATATATATATATATATATATATATATATATATATATACACACAGTATATGTTTCAACCAAACAACAGTTTCAGAATCTTAAGCCACCTGAAATACAATTCTGGTCAGAAATAAAAACATATACTCAGTACCCTGGGTAGACTATATATTGTATATTATTTCAATTGGTTTGTTTCTTTATCAAAAAAACTACAATAAATGTATTTAATGCATAAGTGCAAATTTTAGTGTTTGAGTATTAGATCAAGTGAATAAAAACCAAACGCAAAAATATGACTAGGCTTTCAGAGTGGGTCAAGAGGGTGCTGACAGTTCATCTCGCTTTAACACTTTTATAGTAAACATAAATAAGCTTTCTCTTATTTCAGCTGTTTTTGACCTTCTATTGTAAAGTTTTATCACGTCAAAGACACTGAGAGTTACCTACTGTATAACAGGTACAATATGAACTGCTACTGATCTCTTCAGAGATAATAATCCACGTCAGATTATCTGAACAACCTTATTAAAAGGTGGTAAAAAAAAAAAAAATGTCTAAGGTAATTTGACATAAAGCTAATTGTACGGGTGTATAATTTCTACCTTCTATCTGATATTTTCAAGGCTTCTCTGTTATCTATGCCTGCAACAAAATCTTTGACTTCTTCAAGGCAAAGCGATGTAGGAGCCTGTTGACGGATCAAAGAATAAAACGTGTCACCGTCACGGCAGAACAGCAGACGGCAGGGTTCTATTATTAGTCCAGCAACTTGCGTTGTGATGCATGGGCTGTTTATTTGACAGCTGGGTAGAGTCTGGTTATTTAGTTTATTTATCTCTTTTGGAAATGCTTGTGTCCATTAGAGACACCGTACTTCTAGAATGGAGTTGGTGGTGGCTGTGCAGGAGAGGATAAGTCTTGCCAATATTGCCTTTCCCTCTGGCCCAGTGGAGGTCAGAGATTGCTTCAGAACCCATTAAATAGATTTAGTCATTCCATATACAGGCTTGCTGGTCACCCAAGAGCCAGGAGCTGATCATTTCCATTTTCTCCATATCCTCAGCATGTGAAAGACGTGCATTTTTCCCCCTCCATTGTTTCTGTTGTTGTGCCCTGTTTATTGTGCTATTCCCATCTGCAAAACACAGAGGTTTTTTTTTTTTTTTGAGACTGGGTGCTCTTTGTTGTCAGCAGCGGGAGAACAAGATTGTGAGAGGAGATGGAGCAGTTAAAGAATGAAAAGGTGGCACAAGATGGTGGGGGAGGGGGGGTAGGTAGAGGATATGTAATGTTCTGACAGGGAGTGGGGGACTGGGCGCCCTCAACAAAGAGGCAAAGCCCACAACATGAGCAGCACATACGGCGGAAAGATGCAGAGATAAACTGCTAACCAAGGATAGACCTAATTAAAATGTGATTCCCACCTCTGGGAGATAACACAGAGCCCACATGAAATGAGAGATTAGACGGGAAAGGAGAAATCAAATGAGACGCAGGAATTCCTCCCCAGCTCCACCTGAATTGTGACATGAAGTCTTTTTTAAGCGCTTGAGTGGCAGAGTGACAGGTTGTACCGGCGCAAAGCTTTATTCATTGCAGTAAAGATGACTGACA